AGGCTACAATTATTGGTCCGCTGCTGGAACAGGTCGTTCAGTGTCGGGATGTCTTGGCCCAGGAGTATCTGCTCGAAGGTAAGCGGAAGGGATCAGATCTCGGGCTCCAGCTGACACATTCGCAGTCATTACCAAGGTCTTCCCGGACGAGTATCACCTGCACACCCTTGACCAGATGCTATCCGCTATTGCCCGATTGAACCCACATGTGGACATGAAGAAGATCGTCATTGGATTAATGGATCGCCTATCGACTTACGCCCAACGGGAGTCTGCCGAGGGCGCCTCAGACGAGGATAAGCAGAAAGCTGAAGAAGAAGCCGCAACGCGAATGCTGGAGAAGATCGACCTGAATAAAGACTCGAAACCAGCACCTCCTACTACCACCGAACCCGCCGCCGAACCTGGTACACCGACAACCAATGGTACGGACTCAAAACCCACTACAGAAATACAGACGACCGAGTCTGAGCCGGCGACCCCGTCGGCACCAGCCACAAATGGCGAGAAAGCTACTGGCATTGGCGAGGTCAAGCTGTTCGAGATATTCTATGACCAGGTCGTGAGTCTCGTGAAGACTCGGGGTCTGCCCATTCAGGATACAATGGCACTCTTGACGTCTCTTGCGAACCTCGCCTTGTACGTTGTCCAGACATATTTTGGTTCATGCAACTAATGCTTCCCAGGAATATTTACCCAGACAGATTGGAGTATCTCGACCAGATACTGGCCTACGCCCGTGACAAGGGTGCTGAGTATATGGACTCTGCTGACCTCCATTCCGCCGCCACACAAGCTAATATGCTCAACCTCCTCCTGTCGCCCATCAGAACATACTTTTCACTTTTCACAGCACTAGCGCTTCCGAATTATTTGCCACTTTACTCTTCACAAACATATGCCACCAGACGTGCAGTCGCCGGCGAGGTTGCCAAGAACATACTTCGAAACCGGACTTTAATCACCACGACCCAGCACTTGGAAGGCATCTTGTCGCTGCTGAAAGTGATCATCAAAGAAGGGATCCAACAACCGGCTGGCTATCCTGGATTGAACCGCCAACGAGGTGGCGAGTCGGACGAAACTGTGGAAGAGCAAGGTTGGCTGGCGAGGATAGTCCACTTTGTGCAAGGTCCAGACAATGACACTCAACTCAAGCTTCTGCAACAAGTTCGCAAATCTTACGAAGCTGGCAACGAGCGGATAAAATACACATTTCCGGCCATCATCACTGCTTCATTGAAGCTTGCCCGGAAGTTCAAGACTCGAGAGCACTTCGATGACAACTGGCAAACACAGTCCTCAGCACTATATCGATTTGCGCATCAGACACTGTCGCAGCTATATACTCGTGTCAACCCTGCTGCGGCAGAGTTATGTCTTCGACTGTTTGTTTCGTGCGGTCAAGTCGCCGACCAGTCTGGGTTTGAAGAATTCGCTTATGAGTTCTTTGCGCAAGCGTTTACGATATATGAGGACAGCATCAGTGATTCGAGAGCGCAGTTTCAGGCGGTGTGTATCATTGCAGGTGCTCTACAGATGACACGAGGCTTCGGCAAGGAGAACTATGATACATTGATCACAAAGGCGGCGCTGCACGGCAGCAAACTGTTGAAGAAGCCAGATCAATGCCGGGCGGTGTACTTGGCAAGCCATTTGTGGTGGACTACAGAAGTCCCTGGTCGCGAAGAAGATCCCAAAAATGTAAGTTGAACGACCCGTTCTGGTGATGGGATGCTAACATGTAGAAACAGCTCTATCGGGATGGTAAGCGAGTATTGGAGTGCTTACAACGGGCATTGCGGGTCGCCGACGCTTGCATGGACACTGCTGTGTCCGTGGAACTGTTCGTTGAAATCCTGAATCGTTATGTCTACTACTTTGACCAACAGAACGAGACGGTAAGTCCAACCCGGTGTACGACTCCACTCCAATTTCTAACAGCCCTACTCCAGGTCACGACCAAATACTTGAACGGTCTCATCGAGCTCATCCATTCAAATCTCTCAACCACTAATTCAGAAGGCAATGCCCAATCGCTGGAGAATCCTAAGCGCCACTTCTTCAGGACGATTGACTATATCAAAACGAGGGACTATGAAGGTGTTGTCACGGAGGCGAGACAGTGATGATTGAGAGGCTGGACGCGAGTGTCGGAAAGGGTTACCAGACATAATGCAGTGCGGTCTCGAGGCTGTCATCTACACCTTTCAAGTGCCCGCTCAAATATAAGTCTACTTCGTTGTAGACCAGCGGCAGTCAAGTCAGCTGCCTGTGGCCTGAGAGAAACAAAAGGATAAAACCTATCTTTGGATTGCTAAATCTTAGCAAACCCAAGCCTCGTTGTCTAGCCCAGCTTTCACCCTTGCAACGATTCTTTCCTTTCTGTCTCCAAGATCGAATGCCATCCCCTCGTTATGCACGATATTGACCATGTTGAGTACCGTTAGTCCAGGCCTTGGAGATACTTTCAATCACAGGGCCCATTGACACGGACAATAGTTTCGTGCGGTTACTGCCTCTGTTCTCCTGCCCCAACCTATCACTTCTGCTTCGCGCTCTCGCTCTTTCTTTATGTTGCCCGTTGATGCATTTCTTTCCACGTTCACGATCAGTCCTTGAACATCTCGAATTCTGACGCTTCAAGTTTTCCATGACCTACAACCAATCCCGTGCGCCACCAATCAAAAGCACTCAGTTCTACCCGTGGAAAATTTACCGCGGTAGGCGTGCTCTGATACGCAGCTGCAATTCGAATAGTTAGGGATTTCCCTCTGAAATAACCTGCGCACGCCTGCTTCAGGAAGCTCCTTCTTACGGGTGGTCGTTGATTGGCAAGGGCGAGCTTGAAGTCCGGCCATCGCTCTGCGAGCTCTGCCTTCCAGGCCCCACACAGCGAACGGGCTAAGAGCACCCGTGTTTACGCGCCTGGGTACCTTGGTGACTCAACTTCGACCACGCTTATTGCTGAATTGTACCTGCCATTCAATACGCAATCGTAACGTCAACATACAGACTTTCTCACTGGTAGACGAGTCGGGCTTATTCTGAGAATTACGACGCGTTTTGTAGAGACGCGTCGCCCCAGTGATCGGACGAGGAAATTCAGCCTTGAACATGCCCAATCGGATTGAAAAGCCAGCTCGAGATCCTAAACAAAATGCCCTATTATCTAGCTTGCCTGCAGCCACTCTCAAATCGTTGGCAGATCAACTGGCAGCATTCATCGAAAGCACCGAATCTGCCATGAGACAAGCCAACGAAGCTGATAGCAAGTCGAAGGTCGAACCACCAAAGGTCTCTCAGCATGCTGCGCCAATCGAGCCACCACGTCAGACTCCTGGCCTTCTGTTTGCACGAGAACAAATTAAGTTCGACGGTGAAGGCTCGCTCCCGGTGATGCTCCCGCTTCTCCAGAACGGCCCGCCACCAACAATGACCGCCGCCAATCTGGCGATGTCGAATTTCAAGCTCAGAGCTGCAATCCTCACAGACATCAGACCATTCACAGATATTCAGGATCATCGCAAGTTTCTTTCCAGGTCGTCCTTGAGCTCAGGTATCTCGAAGGAGGAGATTTTGGAGCTCGATAGGTGGACTGCCAAGCTGGTGCATCTTTCAAAGCAGCGGAGTCCTCGGCATCGAAGACAATGGGGACGCGCTAATCGTGAGGTCGAATTGGTGAAAGGGCTGGAAAAGACTATAATGGACCTCCAAATTAGAGTGGCGGAACGTATCGTGCCGAAGTGGTCTTTGGTGCTGTTGGCCGTGCTGGCTGAATACCCTCCGGATCTCCTCGAAGCTCTTGGCTCCGTGGCGGACCTTTACAAAGACTGCCCCTCGCGGCAAGAGGGAGACACCTATGAACCATCAAGAGAGGGGCCATCCACCTTGCCTCAATGGCTCAAGGCACCACTGGGACGGTTCCAGGTTGTGCGAAACTGTGAATTTCCGGAAACTCCCGGCAGATCCGAACTCAAATGTAAGGCAATTGATCTCCCGAATATCGTTTTCGCAAACCTCGCGGTTTTGCAGCGCTTCGATGACGAGGACCCATTGAACTCCAAACTCGCCAAAGCAGCGCACAGATGTCGGCTCGAATCCCTACCGAACCATTTCTTCAGCCTATACGAAGGTCGGCAACCCGAGCTTGTTGAAGCTTGCTACCCCGAATGGGTCAACCGCCGCGTGAAGTGCTGTGAGGACCTGATGCCGAATCAAATCGCTTGGTGGTTTGACGAAAAGACCGGAGCATTGTCCCTTGCAACGCTGGTGGTCCGTGAGACAGAAGTCCAGGTCCCTCCGGGCAGGGGCAAGCGGCGTTACAAAGCCAAGCAAGGCTTGCTCAGATACTACCCCTGTGACGATATTGAAGGCTGGAGGAATGAGAAAAGAAAACAGATAGAACGTGTTGATGAAGAAGCAAGGAGAGCCCGTGGACAGCCGTTGTAATCGCTCCTGCGATAGGTCCATCCGAAATGGATCTGGACAGATCCAGAGTTGATTGAACCAGGCTCATCACTCCACCAATTCTTCGCACTGGCGATTTTGGAAGATGCAATGACAAGTGGAGGTATTCCACGCCGAGGATTGATCCCCAACAAGCAAGGAGATGATGCTGGTGGAATAGATGTCACTGTTGAGGTTTGACGATGCTTGTCGGGTTTGGCGGTCCATGGAATACTAAGATACTAAGTACTGTCGGTTGAACTACCCTTGTATGTCTAAGACATGGCTTCATCCACGACCAAGTCCATGCAAAGTGGGATGCAACAATCACAGTGTTCGTGGTCGCCATGACAGCTGTGTTTGCGGCAAGTACGGCGCGCCTGGAGTGCCAAGAAGAATAGCCTCTAACCCTCGGTTCACCCCAGAAAATATGTGACGTATATATACAGCTACGGGGAAATTGTCGTCAAAATTCATGGTTTCCCATGATATTTCGGCCGTGAGTTTGTCCACAATCTTCTGTCTGGGTTCACTCAGATTAACATTGGATAGTCTATGGCGCAGTGGTAACGCGTCGCACTTGTATACCACTAGAAAGAGAACCTTTCTTGATGCCATAAAAATGCGAAGATCACAAGTTCAATTCTTGTTGGAGGCAATATTTCTTTTTGTCGTTGGGGAGATATGAAATGGAATTGGTTAAAATGAAAGAAGTATGGAGACACAACGCTCTTTTTGGTGTTGCTTCTGGTGCCTTTGAAACCTTGCTGGTGTGCGACCAGGCTGAGCAGTGCGTCTCCGTGCCGTTTAATAAAGAAATACAGGGACCACGAGCTAGCATTGCTTCTCTTTTAGAACTCTCTTGTGCGATCATACATCGCGGATGAGCTACGCCGTCACAAGCAGGAGATTCATCGAAAAGCCAGGAGGAGGCCTTAATGCCATGGGATTAAAGATAATCATGTCGCTCGTCATTACTCTCACAGTGTATCCTTATGCCCACAACCTCTCTCTGCGCCACCGTTGGAATCATCACAGACGAATGCCAATGGCTGTTTGGACCTGCTTCGTGCTTCTGAACAGCTCGAGGAACCCGAAAGTCCACAACCAGTGCTTCCTCCAGCCTTCCTTGACCGGCAGTCTCTCTTCCTTGAACAGGGCCCGCGCATATTCACAGGGGATGCTCTTGCCATTGCCAAAAACACCGAGGATAAGGCCAAGTTCACTGCAGCCAGTCTTGTGCTCTTGGGGCCCGTATTTCAAGCCAGGATTGTCATCCAGTTGTCGTTGGATACGGCGTTTTCTGAATGCAGCCAGATCTTCAACGGTCAGGACCTTGCCGTCAGTCGAGCTTGCCAAAAGATCCTCGACCAAGTCCTGCTGCAGAACTAGATTGCCTTCCTTCTGTTGGTGGTCGCACCGGGAAAGGGAGACATCGTGCTCGACAATTCCGGGAATCGCGAATTGGTCAAGATCGAGGACTTTGCGGCCTTGAGAGTCGACTTGGTCGCGTCTACGCATGCCGAATCTTGCCATCTACCGGTGCCGATAGGTTAGTACAGAGGCTTTCCAGAACTTGGTGGGGGCAGACATACGACGATCCACGGATTTCGAATGATGGCCCAAATACGTGCTAGCAGTGACGGCTTCTTTTGCATCGAAACTGCTTTGGAATCTTGCTGCTCGTTGAAGATAGAGTTTGTGAGCAGTGCGCCGAGCGCCCGTGAAAGACCGACCTCATTGATAGCTGCTTGGAGTTGACTGGCGTGGATGTTGCGTCCAGTGCGGTTGATGTAGCCATGATTTGCAAGAGAGTTGATCACCGGACATGGCGTTCTCTTGTCATTTGGTCCGGAAGGTGCGTAAGTTCCTCTTTGGAGATTCAATGGCAGCGGCGTCGTCACGTCGCCCATCTTGGTAAGCAGGATGGTGAAGTGAGGTCCGAGTATTCTCCACAAGGTGTCGGATTCAGGGCAGGTAGGACGTCTGAGTTTGAGGACAATGTAGTCTGTACGTATGCTGTGTGAGGTGTATATGATGGACAGGAAAACGAATTTTCGGAATGTTGGATGAAGGTGAACTGAAAATGGGGTCGCGATTGCCCGTAGCCAACATCGACAGCAGCCTCACGCCCACCTGCCATCTTCACTGGCCGCGTCTCAATCATCTCCAGTGAAGTGTTTTGCATCGCAAACAGCAGAAACAGCGCAGACATGTCTAGATGGGAAGTCGCGACCGCTGTCTCGGATGGAGAGGCTGCTTCGGAGCTGTGAGACTTTGCTCAACCGGGCATCGACCCTGCAGGAGCTGAGATGCGGAGAAAGCTCTTTCAGCCCGCCACCAGGCCGAGCCAGCTTCGCTTCACGTCAATCAGGCAAGTCGGAACTCTGCTCATGCACGTTCAAGAATTGCTGCCAATTGGAAGCTCGTGCTTCGATATGCATCTGCTCAAAATGGACGGCGCAGCCAGAAATGCGAATTCTACTGCAGCAATCCGCATGTGGGCCGTCGCCTATCTGGCTGCTTCCAGCAGGTCTCGATCCAAGCCACCATCAGCCTACGGCAATGTCGGTGCCTCCGTCTGCCACGATGGACTTCCAGACATATTTCCTGTACGACTTCAAGAGCGAGAAAGGGAGCGTCATGACTTGCAGCGCGCTTGTGAGAGAAATCCACCCACATGAATCTCCCACCGGCTCAAATGTAAAATCTGTCTGTCCGCTCGCCAACTTGGTTTCTTTTCACTGTTTGTCGCAGCCGATACCGACATCCGCAGCGCTGTGAGAGGCTCTGAAGACTTTGACTGAGGCTGTCGCTCATCAACATGTCGGAACCGTGGATGAATGGCACTGCCAGTCTTAATGGCCAGGCTGGTCCAACAGGCAACGTGCAAGATGAGCTTCTTCAACTCAACCTCGAGATGAAGAACCTCAATTATAATAACAAGTATGCCAAATACCATGGCGATAAGCTTATTGGTGTATGCTCGACCACTACTCTCCACAATCGGTAGAGATCGAGACTGATCATACCGCAGGACAAGGTCGCTCCGAAAGGCTTCATTGCCAATTTGGAGAATTCTCTCGACGACTTCCGCCGTATCCTCCGTCCCGAAAACTTCCCGGCAATAGGAAAGGTGTTGATCAGAGCTCTCGGTGGCCATGGTCTTGATGTAAGCTGTTGCACACGCTATGGACTTGAATATGTCTACTGATTTTCGTATCAGATGAAAGCCGGAGCTCCTCTCGTGGGAGCCTTGTCCAACGATAGTAACCGGCGAAGAAAGCTACTTGACGACGGTGTCAAAACGAAGTACAACAAGATGCTTCACCCGCCCTTGACTTACCTCGGAGATGCATTCCAGTATCGCCAAGCAGATGGCAAATTCAATAACGTCCTCATTCCGCATCTCGGTCAAGCAGGCGCCCCATATGCGAAGACTGTGCCATCGAAGACTCGTCCGCTGGGAGCGCTTCCAGACCCTGGTGATCTCTTCGACCGTCTGATGGCCAGACAAGACGGTGGGCGGAACAGTCAATCGGGCCTCTCTGCCATGCTAATCTATCACGCAACCATAATTATCCACGACATCTTCCGCACGAACGACAAGGACAAGAACATCTCGGACAGCTCATCTTATCTCGATTTGTCGCCGTTGTACGGTTATACGCCCGAGATGCAAAGGAAAGTCCGCGACGGCAAGTACAAGCTTGGTCTTCTAAAGCCAGATACATTCGCCGAGGACAGACTTTTGAGACAACCCCCGGGCGTGTGCATATACCTGGTCATGTACAACCGCTATCACAACTACGCTGCGACTCAGCTTCGGCGCATCAATGAGAACGGGAGGTTCAGTGTGCCCGACAAATACCAGGGAACAAAGACGGAAGCATTGGCGCGGCGCTATTCGAAGAATGCGGAAAGCAAGCAGTTCATCGATGACTGCAAAGAGTACAATAGGGCATGGAAAGCTTACCAGGCCAGAGAACCTCCTATTGACGCCGACAAACGCAAATTAGCCCAGGAACTGCAGCACATCGCGCAAGACAAGAGCCTCAACACTGAGCAGAAGAAACACAAGCGCGAGGAGACCATCGAGAAGAGGAAAGCCGAAGCTCTTGCAGACTTCGAGCATTCAGATGAATATACAGAGTTCAGACGATGCGAGCAGAAAATGGAAGGACACATCAGTCAAGACAACCTCAAGGCGAGATATCGTGAAAAGATCAAGGACGACCGCAACGTGTTCGAGAAGGATCGACGAGACTTCGAGGCAGGATATGACGCAGCTTGGGACAAGCTCGACGATGATCTCTTCAATACCGCACGCCTCATCACTTGTGGGATGTACGTCCAAATCTCTGTTCACGACTACCTCCGAGCGTTGATGGGCTTCCATCAATACAACACCAACTTTACGTTGGATCCTCGGATGGACATCGATCACAAAAGCGTGTCAAGGGGAATCGGGAACCAAGTTACGGTCGAATTCAACCTGCTGTACCGGTTCCATTGCGCTATCACTCAAAAGGACGAAGCATACACCGAGACGTTCATGAAGACGAAAATGGACATGCCGGAGCCTAAGAACTTGCCACTGGACCAATTCATCAGCAAGATGGCCGCAGCCGCTGGGTACGCACAAGAGAAGCCTGAGCCTTGTGAGATAACCTTCGGACTTACCCACGACGACCAGCTCAGGCCCGACGACACGCACAATTTCCAACGCAACTCATTCACTGGCCTATTTGATGATCAGCAAATGATCAATGCACTGACGTCCGCTATGGATGATCCTATCTCCAACTTTGGACCTAGAAACATTCCGCAGTGTCTAAAACCGGTTGAGATTATGGGCATTATGCAAGCCCGCAAGTGGGAAGTTGGGACGCTCAATGACTTCCGGGACTTTTTCAACATGCCAAGACACGAGTCTTTTGAGAGCGTCACAGGTAATGTTGAGATACAGAACGCGTTGAGAGACTTGTACGAGCACCCAGACAAGATCGAACTCTACCCGGGCATCTTCTGCGAATCAGACGAGGACATGGGCATGGATCCAGGGCCAAGCGACGTTGATTCAGCGCTCTGGGCTGCGATCTTCTCCGACGCCATCACACTCGTCCGCTCCGACCGATTCTATACTGTGGACTGGAACACCAACAGTCTGACTTCATGGGGGATGAAGGAGGTAACAGAGGACAACGACATCTGCAAGAGCTCCGTCTTCCATCGCCTGCTTCAACGTGCCTTCCCTGGGTGGTTCCCATACGACTCAGTCCGGTTCTTCCACCCATTTTACACCTCCCAGCAGAACGCGTTGTTTGCAGAACAGCAGGGTTATGCCTCTGACTTTAGATTCAAGCCCGCTGCCAAGGACAGAGTTTCCGAAAAGCCCTTGTTCAACGTCGCAGAATCAACGCCTCGAAAGCCTCGGAAGCCAGTCTACCTGTGCGATGTCAGCAAGATCTCCGAAATATTGGCAGACAGAACCGGCGCCTTTGTCCACCCTGCTCTGAATGATATGAAAAATTTCCCCAATGAGATTCAGGAAGCCTTCGGGTCAGGTAATGCTGGTCACATGCTGCCACACGCTCCTAATCCAGCAGATCGTATCCACGAGGACACAGCAGCCATCAAGGCCTATCTTACCGACCT